ACGATGTCGATTCATTTTGCTGAGGCAATTTCTCGAACTGTAAAAATCTTTGTTGGCGCACCGCAAGGTTCAGTTCTGGCCGCTACACTTTTTAGATTACATATTCATTTGCTACCTAAATATTTTATGGGTACCTTGATTCATTTATTCGCTGATGACCTTGCGATAGTTCTATTTGGAGTGCTAGAGAAACGCTTCTCACAAAATGTAATTGAACTACAGGAACAAGCGAGAATAGCAATGGAGTCCTTATCCAAATTCTCAAATGAAAAAATTCTTCCCGTCAATATAGATAAAACGAAAGCACTACTCGTACATAATGTCGTTGCGCCAACATATCCTATAGTTAAATATCGAGAAGTTATCATTAACTTTGTTAAGAGATACAAGTATCTTGGAGTAGAAATAACGGTAAAGTTAGGTTGGGGATTTTATATATCAACAAGAATAAAAATCATACGAAATATATATAATGCTCTCAAAATCCTATTTAGAGACATTCCTATCACAATTCTACATATTCGTCGCATATTGTTTTATGCGTTTGTTCTTCCCCATTTTATCTGGTTTTTTTCGATTTGGTTTTTCTTTACGGATACTCAAAAGGAATACATTGAACATGTTTATTGTTCAGGTATTAGGTTAGTTTTTGACTTGAATAACTGGGACGATATGACTGTAAAAATACTATGTCAGGAGTTTACATTACGCGATTATCTTGTCTGTTACTGGCTAAGATTTATGAAACACCTTGAAACATCACATGAAGCTGCCCAATATCAGTTGACATGGGTTGCTTATTTAGCTGCAAAAAATCCGGAGAAGAACTGGTATCGCTTATCAGGTTTGCGCAAAAACAACAGATTTTTAAAACGTCTCTCTCTACAAGCGAAACATTCTAAAATCGATATAATAAATTTTATATCAAACCACGCTCCGCAATACGGGTACTACAAAAATTCTCCTTCACTGTTATGTATGTTTGTATATAAGTATTTTCTTCAACCTCCTTAACTTTTGTCGGAAATCTCTGGTTTTTAAAGTATTGAGGCAACTTCTCTAATGCTGTTGTTAAAAAAAAAACAAAAACAAAAAAAAGCAACAGAATATGTGTATATAAATAGGAGAAAGCAAAATCTATGACACTTTTTTATTATTATATATTTGAATTTTTTTTTCTTTTTCTGCCACTATGTATCATTACGGTCTTTTTTATTATCAGAGTAACAATGTACTTTTTCTGCAGATAGTAATTTCTTTTTACTTTGTCAACCATTTTTGGGACAATAAACTGTTCTATATTAAAAAAAAAAAAAAAAAGATTTATCACTGATGTAATGTATCAATTACTTATATATGCTCGAAATACAAGAAATATCGATCACACAAGTTTCATTTAAAAGCAAGACACGATTCGGATGGGTCATACAGCCATCCGCTACGAGTACTCTGACCAATTAATTTTATTTTCCCATGGTCTTTTCTGTTCTGTTTTATGAAAACTTCCAAAGACTATAGTCCAATTTCCTTCGGAAATTGGAATTTGAGATTTAAAAGGGAGATCCTCCAAGTAAAAATGGATCGATCAGAGTTCGAGATATGAGTATATAGGTATACTAGGTATAAAAAAATGTGTATTCATGTCTCTGTTTGTTTAAAATTTATTATGGTATTTTGTATAAAATAACAGATGAAAATTTTTGTATCAATTTAATCTTTTTTTCAGGAACTGTGTGTTGCTTTTGAGGTTTTTTCTTGATAATTCTATATCGTTAATACAACAGGCACTTTTTAGTAAATGTTCCTTTTATCTGTGTTATGCTCTCATTAATAAATAAAGTCCAACTTCTTCTTATCTATATTGCAGTGATGAAATTTTCACATTTTTGCTCCAAGGGAGCGACGCTAACAAGCTTTCTTGTTGGAATTCATTCTGCTTCTTATCCAGGATCGTTTGAGATCGTGTCGAAATAATTAATATATTTTTTTCCGGCGTTTTTCTACGAATCGATTCCTCCTTTGAAGTTGAACTGAGCACCATAACCTTAATCCTGTTTGATATTTGAACATAAATTTCTGTAGTTCAAGCAAACAAATATCTGACTAATTTCCAATATCTTTATCAGATATTAAAACTAAAAAAATAATTTCTGCTCCGGCCCAGCCGGTCTTAAAAGCTTACTGGTCCAGCCCGGCCCGTGCCGATCTCTGGTCGTAATATAGTTTACAATCCATAGTCTACTTCTTTCTCCCTTGATCTGTATTTGTTATCATCGACCGTTCCTCATCTCTAGTTATCTTTTATCTTATTCTAAGCCTCCTTTTTTCTTTGTTTGATTCATAGCCATCTTCTCTTTCTATGATGTGTTTCGATATAATATATAGGGTGTCCGTAAAGTCCTTAGAGTTAGAAAATGTTCAATGTTTTCGTCATTCTTTACCCAAATGAGCTGATTTTTTTTCTGAGTATAGTAAGCGGATAGAAGTGTCTATTTATCACAAAACAGACCATTTATGAACATAAAACAAACAATTTTTTTAACGCTATAAGTAAACTTTACAACGAGGTTTTTTCTCATAGTTATATGCTGATACTATAGTATATTCTTTTATTTATTTAATCAGAAATGTAACTAATATGTAAGCCTAGTTTGAGACAAATTGTTCTCCATTATTGCTACATGTCAAGGCGCTGTTGAACAGAACGACATACTTTGCGACACATTTCTTCTGGTATCTGTTCACAAGCTTCTTCGATTCTCTGTTTAAGTTCTTGAATGGAAGTAAGTGGCTGTTTAAACACCGTGTCTTTCAAATATCTTTAGAGGAAAAAGTCACATGAAGCTCTCCATGTGACTTCCGCTTACTATACTCAGAAAAAAAATCAGCTCATTTGGGTAAAGAATGACAAAAACATTGAACATTTTCTAACTCTAAGGACTTTACGAACACCCTATGTATATATTCGAGCTTACCGTCATTTTTATTCTTAGTTAATATTGCTTCACTTTCAGAATACAATATTTTATAAAGTAAAGTATATTCAGACTTATTGTTTTTGCTTCAGAGCCAGATCCAACTAAAACAATAACTGACGTCTTCTAGTGACATCCTGTCCACATGGTAGAATATTCAGTGTAGAGACTGAAAGCAGTTTTTTTGTCTCGTCCTTTTTATCCATCGAAATATAAGACAAGAAACTAGATTATGTCGTACAAAATTTTTTGAAGTTCCCTTTAAAAATGAAATGATCTGAAGAGATTCTCTCATATTTGGACTTCAAAGACTGTTAATAATCACCATCACCACTGTAGCTCTAGAACTCAAAGAAAAAATTTACTCCTTTGCTTGGCTTTTTCGCTCATCAAATGGAACAAAAATATTAGTCAATAATTTTTCGGGCCACATCTACGATTTATTACACTTCGATTCAGACTAGATAAAGCTTGGGTTTATGTTCTGGACTTTAAATTGAACCTAAAAGTTAATATTAAGAACTACTTACAATTTGATGTATTGATGATTACCTGTATAAACACATAATATTAAGACTAATATATTAAGACATAATATTAAGTCTCTTTCTTGATATTTTGTTTTAGTTTAAAAAACAATGACAACGGATTTTACTGAAGCAACAGCTGAAGCATTACAGCAATTAAAAAATACTGAAGATAAAATCACCACTTTATTATGGCTATCTGCCAGTATTGTCGATAATCTTAGTCAAGAACATATTATCAAAGAAGATTTAGAACATATAGTAAAACAATTTTGTGAAGATACCCAAAAGGTTCAAAATTCATTATTAAGTAGTTTATTATCGCTCGAACGTATCTCATCTGGTTTACCACATGAAGATTCTTGTTATGGAAGTTGGCTAGATTTTTGTTTAGCATCAATGAGAACGGATACAATCAGAAATAAATTGTTACAATTGAAAAATAATCCTGATTTACAAAAGTCAAAAGAAAGAGTCAAAGAATTAGAAAGACAATTGGCAAATTTATGATACTAGTTCTTCTATACATCAAAATAACATTCTACTTTTCTTAAATTCTGTATATATTTCTTTTTGTCATTATACACTTTTACTAAAATAAAGTATAAACTTATTGTGGGACTTGATGAGTTAAATTGTTTTGAAAAAAAAAAAGAGTAACAAAGCCATTGCAAGTATTGAAATTTTATTTTTGTATTGAACTTACGGTTCACTATTTACGGTTAACGACGTGTCAAAGTTCTCGATTAGGCCATGATAGTCGCGTGTTTATTCCTCATTTAATGTCAAATTCTGTATCTAGCTTTTTTCTTTCGCGAACATCAAAAGATTAGAATGAACTACCTTCTGTTTTAGCCTGTCAAGCTTCTTTAGCCACATTTAAAAATATGCTGAGAGGTTACACAGGCTTTTAATAATGTTATCTTGTTTACTTTTTTTCTATTTTTAAATTTTTAGTTTTAAGTTATCACAGGGTATCCACGGATGCCACAAATCTTTTGTTCTTTTTTGTGATATCCTACTCTTGAGCAAAATAAAATCTAATCTTATCTATGTTATCTTGTTAAATAAAAATAGGTTTAACGAGTATTTAATTTAATGTTTAAAATCCTACCTATTTGCAGATTGTTTTTGGTTTTTTTTTTTATTAAAATGATTGTTCGACCTTCAATTTTTATAAATATTACATCTAGAGCATTATCCATAGTGAGAAATCTTAGGTAAGTTATCTTGTACTATTTGAACATCGATACAGTTAATTATGTGAATTTTACTTTTTTCTTTTCTAGAAACAATGTACCTCAGCCGGGTTTTGTATCATCGCCTACCGTTCCTCCAACAGTGAACATACCTGATCCTCTATTAAATCGTGGTGTAATTTATGAGCCTCCATATTTGGTCGGTATTTGTTCTTTAAAAAAAATGAATGTTACACATTATATTCTAATATTTTTCTAGTTTGAAACTGATACCTATCCAAATTATTCAATGTTGGCAATTACGATGCGTGGCTATGATTATGTTGTATTAGAAGGCTTTTTTCGTTATGTAGAAAAAGTAGCAAAATCATTGGATGTCAATGTACTAGAAAGGTACTATAACAATAAAAAAGAAATGATTTTAATTGTAGTATATATATTTATTTAGTGTCGCTGTGCCATCAAAATCGTCTAGAGTAACAATTTTGAAACCGAGAAGTCAACATGTTGATGTTGAATATACTTTGAATTTGTACCATCGAATAGTAAAAGTAAGTAGTTAAAACAATAATAACTTCTTTATTTAAACTACTTTGTTTTTTTATTCTATTTTTAGCTTTCAAAAGTTAAAACAACTATTGCACCAATTATATTTGAATGTATTCGATTAAATATACCTGAAGGTGTTGAATTAAAAATTGGTGTACCAGATATTAAAGATGATGCATTTCGTTATGTACCTGATGTAGAATTAAAACAATTACAAAGTGAAATGGATGCCATTACTAAAGAAAAAGAAGATAAAGAAAAAATGAAATATTTAAAACGTGAACAAAAACAAAAAGACAAAAATCAAGCTATGCTTTTGTCTATATTATCACCAACATTAGTGAGCGAACCACTTCCTATTACTTCAAATGAACATGATGAAAAATCGTAGATATAGAAAAACTTGTATATTATATTTATTTTGTGAAGTCATTATAATAAAAACAACATGTTTTCATAGTCATTTTTTAAATATTTTTTTGATATTCAATTCCTAGTTTTGCCAACACATCAGTTATCTTTGATTTTGAAAATTATCGAATTTTATTAGTTGAAACGCACAATGTATATAAAGAGAAAAGTCAAATGCTGCCTATGAGTAAAAAGTCTTTAATTTTTTCAACTATTTTTAGATATGTGTACAAAAAAACGATAATGGACCAACTTATTTTAACCGAATTGGACTCGGTAAGTGTATAAAATTGTTTTATTATGTTAAATAAGACCTCTAATTCATAATATTTCTAAACAGGATTCATTTGATGTAGACAATTTAATAGAAAATGTTGCCTATAAAGCTGTCGACGGTAACATAACAAATCAAAATTTTGATCTATTTTTATTAGAAGATAAATTTAGAAAAGCAATGTCAATATTACAAGTACGTTGATTTTCGATATTTTTTCATGTAATTATTTTAAAATAGTCATTTTTGTGTTAGGCGCAACAAGTACTAAATGAACGTACAATTAAACAATTACAAGATTCATGTGAACAAGAAAGACAAACATGGTCAGGTAGTGTTGCTCAATTAGAAGAATTATATCAGGTAGAAAATAAACAGTCATTTTATTCTCACCTATCTATTTTGTCTGTTATGTTTAGAATGCGTATACTGATCAACAAGAATTAGAAATGCGTATTAGTGTAATATCAACAAAAGTTATTCAAATCGGACATCAACTAGAAAGTAAAAGTAATCCTCGTCAACAATTAGTTGAAGCACGAACAACAGGCAAATATCTTGAACGATTTTTGGATTCAAATGATGATGTAATTGGAATGTTTCATGATATTTCAAAAGTAAGACTTGTATGCATATTAATAATTAGAGTCTACAATATTTATTATTATTTTTTTTCTAGCTTGAACAAGCGGCACACGTTATCCATCAACTTTACAATGTTTTACAAGAATTGCCTGATGAGCCAAAGTAGATAGATATATTAAATATAAAATAGTGACATCATAATTTATTGTTTCTTTTTAAATAGATTTATTGAAGCAAAAACAAAAGTAAATGAACGTTACATGGCCATTGAAGAAATGTTATTACAAGAATTTTCTCGTGCACAAGTTCGAAATGATAAAAAAGCAATGAAAAAATATATTAAATTATTATCAAAATTTAAAGTGAGTATAAAGTAATGATTTGTAGATAAAATAACATTAATTTTCACTTTTAGGGACATAATGACTGTGTACAAAATTTTATCACAGATTGTCTAGAAGTATTGATATTTGATACAAATGATTCTAACTTTTAAAAATAAAATTCTTTAATATATTTTCTAGGGTTATTTTGATAATCCAAATATTGACATATTCGATGCTATACCACAATTATTTACAAAAGTATCAGAATTAATTAATGAATTATTTGATCAACCAGAAAAAGTCATTGAAAAATTAATTATAACGGTTTATACAGAAAAATTGACTGTATGTATACATTACACTCACACATACGTCTATTTTTATGATCTTATTTGAAGCCTTACGTTAGAATGAAACTTGAACCATACGAGAAAAATCCGGATTTGGAAAATATGGAAAAATATCTTCAAACACTTTATTTATTAAATAAAAAGTATGATTACTTCTCTTTACTTATATCTAACTTCAATGATATGTTTTTATTTTTGTTTTTATTAGAGCATCTAAATTATCGAATGATTTACAAACACAAAAGATTAGTGATGATCCAGCATTTTTACATAAATTAAATCAATATGCTTTTAAAGGGTATTTAAAAAGTTATAGCAAGTAAGAAAACCAAATAATGTAAAATGATTAAAAACTGTGAGTCATAACACTTTTAGATACGAATTAACTTGTTTAGAAGAAAAATTTCAACTTCAACTCGAAAGATTTGAAGAAAGTAGTGGTGGACAGAGACGAGTTAAACAAGCTGGATTAACAAGGTCTGCCTTTTTTCTTCTATTTTTTGTTTTTTTAATTTTTATTTATTATTATTTTTGTTCTTATAGTATTACTGATATAATTCAACAGCGACTATTAAATACCGGTGATCAAGTTGATGAATCAAGATTTTCACCAGAATTAGGGGCAGCATTATTAGACGATTGTAAAACATCTATGAACAGAATAACAACGGTATGTAGAATAACTTCAATAGTTTAGTATTGAAACAATAATTGTTTTATTATTGTCTACTTTAGTTATCGGAAGGATTTGAAGCATCAGAAAATGTTTGTCAATGTTTTTTACGTTTATTAAATGCTTTATGTGTTCAACATGTTGAAACAGAATTACAATTTAGTCTCAATGCCATACCGGGTAATGAGCCGAAACAAGAACCAGATATTAAATTTTTTCATGCCATATTACAAACAAATAATATCATTCAATTAGTTGAACGTTATTTTGTATTTAATATTGCACCGTTATTGACGTATGTAGTGTAAACATTTATTCGTTTTTTTTTCTTCTATTATTAATGTTTTTAGTGGTGTACAACAACAGTCCGTTGCTTTACAAACAAAAGAAAAAGTAATAAACCAATTAGAGGAATTGATCAACATCGGAATAGACAAGTATGTAATTAAGCTAATAGTCGAGAAACGTTTTGTCTTGGTGTTTAAAAAACTAATGATATACGTTTCTAAACAAATCATCAACGAGAGAACAACGTCAGATGATAACCTCAGATTTCAATGATCTATTTTTTCCGATAGATAGAGGATAGTGTAGTGTCCTAGTATAAGACCTAAAAGGATTTGTCTATATTATTTCTAAAGTTATGAACTTTTTTTGTTTCCCTGCATCATACATCATATAAAACGTAGTTCAGCCGAAAACATTACTTCATATGCTTTTCTTTAAGCTAGTTGGATAACTCGCGAAAGGCCTGAACCTTTCTGGGTTATTGACAGACGCTTAGTACCACTATAGCAAAAAATGTCATACCTTTATTCGCTATTGTGGCAAAGTTATGAATTTTTTAGTTTTCTATGGTGTAGGTATGATGCAGGTAAACAAAAAAATTCCATAACTTTTGAAAGAAGCAATATGAACAGAAATCCTTTTAGGTTTTATACTTGAAGAAAATTGTCGTTGTACTGACATGAAAAAAAATGTATAGAATTGTTGTCTACTGTTTTAGATCATTATCTTGTATGATTGGCTATATTAGAATTATGTTAAATGAACAAAAACGGTCTGATTTTAGACCGGAAACAGATCCTCTTATAACAGAATGTTCAAATGTAAGTTATTGTAAGAAATTTTTATTCAATAATATAAACGATATTGTGTATTAGGTTTGCAGTCGTATAGTTCGATTTATTGATACACACATTACTCGATTAGAACAAGCATTTGATGGAAAAAATTTGACTGATGTATTGAATGAATATGGAATACGATTTCATCGTGCAATAATCGATCATGTATTCAAATTTGAATACAATATTACAGGTAAGTAAATGACTTCTATCTCTATCTTTATTTTAATAAAAATCTGACTGTTATAGGTGGTTTAATGATGTTACAAGATATTAGTGAATATAAAAAATGTTCAAAAAAATTTCGTAGTTTAATGGTCGAACAATTATTTACAATATTACATGCTTTAGTAAATCTACTCGTTGTTGTACCAGAAAATTTAAGACAAATTAGTACCGAAGGACATCTAGCAACATTGACACGTGAAATAATCGAATCTTTTGTGATGTTACGAGGTGATTATAGATCAGCGAAATTACATAATTTTATCAATTTAAACGATTAATTATTTGTATATTTTCTATTATTTACTAAGCATTTTTAAAGCTAGTTGTTATTTATAAAAAAAAATTTTACCATGAATATCGTGCTTCCACATCCGAACTTTATGTTATGTACTTTTATATTAAATTTTGTTTAAAAATAAAAAATATATATAATTTTTTTGATATAAATGAGTATAAATAATAATGATCGTCCCTCCTTTGATTAGTGATGAACTACGTACTCTAATAGGACGATACAGTGTTCAGGACATCAAACGACCGTAATTATTTTGTCATTTTTACTACTGGAAATTTTGTCTTGAATTTGTGCTCCTTATTAAATTGTTCAAATATATTGTGAAATGAAAAAGACAACGAACATTAAAGTCGACTTTCTGTTAAGAAGTAAAAGCTGGATATTATTTTTTCCAAAGTTTATGCGAAAAGTTGCTGGGAAGACATAATTGACTATGCTAAGTACGACTGAGTTCTTAGGAATTTATAAAAAAAATACCTTTTTTTTTCATATACTCGATATTTAATTAATAATTGATTGGTTGCATACGCTAGACTGAATCACTCGTATCTAAAATAATCTGGACACAGTTGTCAACAAAACTGATCATACACCCCTCATATTAACTTATGATTGATATTTTTTACCGAAAAGAAATCACCTGTAAAGTTCAAAGTTTCACTAAAATGTTGCAAATTTATTGTAGTTTATTTGCTGAAAATAGGAAGTGCTCATGTCATATAGTCATTGTGCTAGATCAAGAAGAGTGAGATGGATGACTTCCTCTGTTCAACAAAATTAATCATACAGTTCGATTTTTTAATTTTTTACATAGTAGACTTTAGTTTTAATTTGACAAAATAAGCGTATTTTGTGCAGTTTTTCTCGCTCTTTTGACTCATATGTACTGCAGAATTTTAAACCAAAGAGCGGAGAAAAAGGAAACGAAATACAAAACAATCATTTTTTTTTCTATTTTTTCGATATGTTTTTATAATGCTTCGCATAAAAAATCCATATTTTCATCAGAAAAGATTTTTTGTTTTTCAAATCGTACTCGTTCGATTCTCCATACAAAATTACAATGACATTTAAGTTTATTAACCTTGAAAACGTTTCCTCATGAACATATTGTTTTTTTATTAGAATTTTTCATTAGTTTTTATCTTTTGGTAAAAATCTCAGTGATTTTTCGATGTAAAAATTCCAAAAAAATTAAAACGGTTGAATATGAAAAAAATCATCGTTCAACTCAGTTTTGGACGCTGATTCCGAATTTTCTGAATCAGCTCGACGCGCTCTATCCAATCATGTATAAAAAATTCAAGAATAAAAACCTTCTGAATTTTCGGCACCTTATTAAAAGTGTATTCTTAACTAGTATGACCATTAATCGTATCTATTATCAAATGAGCTATATTTGAATTGACTTCAACTAGCTTCTTAAGATGGAAAATAGAAACTAGATTACACTTCAGTTTTATTACGGATAAAAGTAGGAATTTCGTAAAGATGGTTGTTGAATGAATCCCGGTTTTTGTAAAAAGAACTACTTTCAACAAAATTTATTCGGATATAAACTATTTTTTATTTATTTATTGTGTAGAATTTATTCTAGAAAAGATTTTTTTGTCTTGTATTGTTCCCGGTTTTATAAAATACCTACCTACCTATCAATTGTTGAACATTTATCTTTGGCTCTTTCTCGGAAACAACGGACATACCTTTGTACTTTTTTCTATCCCGTTTGTTTTTCGGTTCAAAATTTAGTAATTCTCCAATAAGTGCAAATTCTGTTTTATTTTAAATATTATTTGTTTCTTGTTTTCCAAACGAAGTTATTTTGATAACACAGAAAAACGTGATTATTCATTGGATGATGCATTAGATACTTGAAGTGATCCACAGTGGGATACTTTGATGGCATACTCAAACTGTATCTGATATCTAATTCTTTTATAAAATGTGCATCAAAACAACAACAGCTCCATCAATCAACAATAGAAGTCCTAAAATTGACAAGGCTAAAGTTGACGAAAATTCACTATTTCATGTGTACTAATATAAACTGTTTCTTTAAAGGCATCTTGGAGCACAACAAAATTAGATAATCTTGATACAATAAATAATATAATATTTCTATCTAATTGTACCTGATTCATCATTAGGAGAAAACATTACGATGGTTTAATAGAAAAATCATTTTTTACGAAGAAATTATGTCAACACAATGTCAACTATTAGCAGAAAACGAAAATCGGATAAAAGTTGTCATTTGTCTTCAAGACAGTAGAGTCAGGATTCTTCTTGCTTTTCAATGTTTAATGATGGCTATCCATGTAAAAAATCGAACAAGTCCTATGTACATAGGTTTGCATAATTTTTCAAAAATAGCCATGCATAGTTGAAAATTATACATAATTTACAAAAGTGCGTAGTTCTGCATACGAGTTTTGCTATGCATACGGATGCATAGGACTTCTTTTATCCATAGTAGAGACCGAATGGGATCAAACTCATTTGATCCGAACCCGACCTTAAATAAACCCTGAAAAAACTTTTATCGCACCTAAAAGGAAGGGTGTAACTTTATTTCGCAGAAAAACGCATGAGAAATCAAAATTTTTTTCCGGTGACCCGAACGGGACCCGAAATATTTTTTATTTGAATCGAACCCGATCCAACTCGAACATTCACCCAACCCATTTCGGTCGCTGATCCATAGAGAATGCATAGCCCCTGACTTTCTGTTACCAAAATGCTAATGAATTTTCTTAGGGACGAAGTAAAATAAATAAAAAGCGGTTTATACTTTTAAACTTGTTTAATGTCGGTTTTAATGAAGTAAAAACTTCGGCTTCGTTTCTTCACAAGAAAAACAATATCGTTTAAATACAAAATCGTTTATGAACTTTTTACAGGGCGAGTCCACGCCGTCAGTACTGGATAGACATTTGCCTTCAACCTGGATTAAACATCAGATTCATATTCAGTTTTTAATGCTCAATCCGAAAAAAATACTTTCAAAATGTTTGGAAAACGCAAAAAAATTTTTTTTGAAACCGAAGCGTCTTTTGAAAATTTAGACTATTCAAATATTTTCAATTTTTCGACATGAAAATAATTTTTCAAACATTAAAACACATATTTTCTGAATCAGCTCGACGCGCTCTATCCAACCAAGTAAATGAAAGAATATCTGCTGAATTGTCGAATTTCTGGCACGTTAAGTATTAGCCAAGAAATTAATTAATGGATGATGATAAGGATGAGAACATGACTGCTGAATTATTTAATTCGTGCTTTTGCCGGTTTTTTGTAAGAAAAAGCAAAACCAGACCTGTTTTGCAGCCCGTTTTCTAAAAAGGCTAACTACCATGTACTTTTAACGCATTTTTGGACGAAGTCGATCGCATCTAATGAAGTTTACCCCATGACTATAATTAAAAATTGATAAAATCTATTTTTATTGCTGTCGAAAAACGTAGCAGCGCTTCAAAAAAGCCCTATACAGCAAAGCAGTAGGCTGCATTGTGATTTTGCAAGTCTATTTCAGACATTGATTTACTAATGTTAGCCGTAGTCCACTATCAAACAAAGTGTCTTGATAAACCACTCTGATGGCTTAAAAATGCATCCACCGCCCGTAATGAGAGCATGTTAGATGCATTTTCTCATGTTTTTTACTGTTAGTCGCCTGTATGTTTTGACAAAATACCTCTAAATTACTGTATTTTTTTGATAAAAATAGCTTAGATGCTTTCAATAGACATCACTAACGCATCAAAAAGTCACAAGGCACTAGCTACGGTCAAGACATTTAGTCACCCATCAACCAGGGATAAATCACGCAGTTGCATTCAAGGCACCGAAAATACAACGAGACTCTTATTAGACACAAAGTCATTCTGGTATCTAGTCCAGACATCTCTGGCAGGAGAAATGAAGAGATAACATTTTCAGAAAAGTGCCCTATCGACATTGTTTCTTTGTTCATTATGCTGACTATTATTAATTTGCTGCTTTACTTAATTATGTTAGACTCAAGTCTAATTTGATTAATTTATGTGTTAGATTTGAACGTTATCATTTATGCGGACAAGTACAAATGATACTGGTACGGGTAATAGTTTAGTGATGCAACTGCAGTCGATATGTTAACATTTATAATATACTTTCCTGATACGCATATTGATGCCGGCAATGGCTGTCAGCAGAAGAATACACTTGAGGAGATAATCTAAAATAGAATTGACTATGTTAATGTTTTCATTAGATGCGTAGTGAAACGTCTATCTTATTTATGAGTTGATTTTCGGAAGTAAATGTTTTGGCTATTTTAGCAAAGAGTTGAAAATAATAGTTAAATACCCAATTTTGTCTAGTTTAGTAAACAATCTCACGATATTTTTAGGTTATATCCCAATTTCATCGATTACATCGATGAAAACGGTAGTTTGCCCATTCGCTGCCTCATACATTTACTGTCTATATCAAAGAAGAGAAACTAGCGTTCTTTCTACCTATTTCTTCATCTTACACAGACTTATTCATCGCTTATCTGCAGGTTTTTTGGTCATAGTCCACTTTTATAAGGCATTCCAGCGTATTTAATGCATCCTGGATGCTTTGTCTATATTGAAACGCCCTACCTTATGCATCTAAAATGCGTCTGGTTTACACGGGTGAATGCATTCAAGGTGCATTGACTAAACATCTACGATATCTCACGAAGACACTATAGGCGTATAAAATTGGAATCAAGGCGCCTTCATAAGGCATCGTGACACGTCTTTTACATGGAAATATCTTCTTATTGATCAAAAATGAGGTTGCTTCTAAGGCGCCTAAAGTGCATTTATTTTTAAAAAAATGCACCTCTTTTTCCCAGTGTATAGGCGTAACATTTGATACGAGTATTTGAAATATTATGAATGACCACTCTCATTTCATATGCATACTATAGTTCGTTGCTTTATTTTTAAAATATTGATATATCCGTTGATATTTTCAACCTAATGACAGCTCTGTAGTTTACTAGTTGTGATTAGTTATCTCTCTCTATATCTCTATTGATGTTAAATTTTTTTGACAAACCTAAAAAAAAAAACCACATGCCCTATCACATTTTGACCTAAATTGGTGTTTTACTTACATATAGAGAAAAGAAAAGAGAGACGCATATACTTGCAATGATGGAAATTGTTCTAGTTATGACCGATGTACTCAGCACACACGAAATGTCATTAATTGTGTCCGTCCAACCGTTACAAAAAAGGAAAAGAGAAAAGGGACAAAGGTAGCCCAAATAATCAATCATCAATTTACACCATGAAAATCAATTATACCGTGCCAAAAACGAAAAATTTCGATTTCTTTTTACAGTTATTGATGAAAATAGATATTTTTTCTCATCTTCGAATACACAATTTCACTTCAACAATCTACTAATCAATTGTGTTTTATTAACAAGCATAAAAAAAATCAAAACTGATTTTTTTTCTAATGTGTAAAATTTTTTTGTGTCAATCACAGTGACGAAAAGAAATATATTATGTCAGTAACTCTACTTTTCTGTATTCTATTGCTTGGTTTCACAGAGCAGAGAAGCTGTATAATTTCAACAACTTACTGAATTATCTGGCATACAATTATATGTCAGATGTCCTAAAGGAAAAAAACTTGTACCCACTAACTACTATGTGAGTTTAATAGAGTTGTCACCTGTTTGTAGCAGAACGCTGCGGTTAACATCAGTATACCAGATTTCTATATCTCTTTCCATTCTTAGTTGGTATATTTGTTCATACTACAGATTGGTAAAATTATTTCTCGCTTTTGGTTACATTTTCTCTATTATTACTGACATGGAGACCGAAATCACACAATTAGAGAAGAAGATTGATAACGATCTAATATTGGATTTTTTGTCATGTTCACGCGTACAGTCTATCTACATACAAGTGTATAGTCAAAAAAAAAATGCTTTTAGTTTTCCCTTCAATATCTATTAATACACATGTCAAATGATTAAAAATACTTGTGTATATGTGTGTGTGTATGTATGTATATTGTCTATTGACAACATATATACATTTCCTGCATAGATGATAGGCCCCGATATTTATTTCATACTCTTTTTCTTCTTGCTAAGTATTTCATATAGGTGCAGTTTAAATGAAGAAAAAGAGATAGTAACAACTACCTGTGGTATATCAAAAAAACATCGTTGCATAGATATAGCACGAATAGTTGAACTATAAACGAATACCATCATCGCTATGGTATTAGTTCATCGAATATAATCAGCGATTGTAAAACGATCTATTATCTCTCAACTTTCGATAAGATAGAGGAAGGTAAGATGATTGACTATATCACGTGTTTCAAGCGTGACAAATTCAATCTCTTTCAGAGAGCTTTTATAGTTGTTCTATTAGTATTCTTCATCGTTAGTTAAATCGAAAGGTTTGAAAAAATATTCTGTCCTTTGAATTATAGTTCAACTAAACACAAAGCTTCTTTAAAATCAATGAAATGAAGAAAATTTCTTTTCTCAGTTGATATGAAATATCTATGTTTGTTGAACAGGAAGATCTGCTGCTTTGCGACCGAATCTTATTCAATACGTTGTTTGAAAGATGATGTCTGTTCTCTGAAATAAACATCAACAGCCTTCCTAAATTTCTTTTTAGAGTTTTGTGATGTCTACGACGCAAAATCAGGCCTGTGACATCTATTAGCTTTCTTAAACTCTTCTCTCAGAAAGTTAATGGGTATCTTTTAAAATGAACTGTATATTTTTAATGAAACTAACGAACTCATTTCTCGAAGTCATGAGTGTGACCAAATTTTTACTAATGTAGCATTTAATAACTACTGTGGTAAGTAATTATTATTTCATACATACAATAAAAATAGACAAAAGAGCTAGCATAAAGAAAAGGTATCGAGTTCTATTCGGTAGAGTATAGTATATATGCGCATTGATATTGCGAAAGAAGAAGAAAAGAAGGTGAGCCTTCACGGAGTTTTTTGTTACCTAAAGTTTTGAATAGCGCGTACCTAGATCATACATAAAGAAAATAGATAGTTACATGTAAGATTAATATTGAGTCTATCGTTGTTTAAGTACCAGATCTTCTTACAATCAATGTGTGTGTCCGTATCAATGTCTGTCAGATAATTAGCACATTTATGATCAAGTAGTTGACGTGCTTTCACACACATATAGGATTGTGAATTGACGTCTAAAAGACCTTGAAAATGCTGAGTGGACGGACAGTGAGGTGTGTTTTATTCTTCTTTTAACCGCCAGTTCTAACGTTTCGTTGTAATAAAGTGGGAATAATAGTTGTTACATAGTGCGATCAGCGATTGAAATTAGTACTGCAGTCACAATCCAGAATCAGTGTCAAGCCATTATTTTTGATTTCAATTTATCGAACTAACTTTCTCATTTTAGATAGTTTTGTTATTGGAAACAGCAGATCTTTGTTATCTGTTAAACTGTTTTACTTAGTAACAATCAATACACTATGGCTACTGCGTTATATTCGGCACCCACTACATTGAACAATCCGCTAATGTTTCCAATGGGTTTTCAGACACAGACACCAAACATGAACATTGGACAAATGCCATACCAATTTCAAAATCAACAATTAGGAATTTCTTCCTTCTTAGGGTATCCGGGGCAGCAGCAGCTGACTTATCAACAAATACCGGGGATGCAACAACCGCCACCATCACGGGGACAATCGATGCCAGCTCCTCTCAATCGTTATCCGTACCCCAATGGTACTCAACGACAATCGGGACCACGACCTCCTCATCCCGCGAGTGGGCAAATTGAATTTTCTACACCGTTTGGAAATCGGTCGTCCTATAAACACGATTCAAGAGGTTAATTAATTACGAAATGAGTCTTAAAATTACTAATCATTCCATTTTTCTTTTCTAAAGGTCGACAACACCGGAGACGACGTAGTATCTCACCAAATACTGAAGGTTTATATTCTGATCGGGAAAATCATCAACAGCAAAAACGACGTGCTCTATCTGGTGATCAACGTTTAACTCCCGATCGAAGTAGAAGTCCATCTCAATCACATGAAAAACAAGAGCAAAAATCAGATCGAAGTCCGACAATTGACAAACAGGGGGAAAGACAGCAAGAAAGTGGTGATAAAAAAGGAAAATCGTCCAAAAGAAAAAGTAAAAAAGAACGTTATGATAAATTCACTCGAGGTGCAGATGAATATGGCGGTAGTCCGTGGACCAGAGCACCACAGCAACAAACTGATGTTTATGGAGATAATCAAAGTGAACTACCTCATCATATGCGGGTATAAATCATATCGTTTTAGTTAAAAGGAAATCAAAACGTGAATTTTTTATTCATATTTTAGGTTCATAGACAGCCACTTTATAATGGTTACCATCAAGCTTACGAAGAGTCTGTGAGACGTGGTGATTTGTATAGGAAACAAGCAAAACGTTATATGCGTTTAGCACCAGAAATCAAGCAACAACTTTTGCCACATGAAGATGATTTACAAAAAAATGAAATATTAAATCGAAATCGTTTGCCATTTTACAATACTCAACAACCACCACAACAACCCTATGATCTAAGAGGCCAATTTGGTCAACAGCAATTTAGTCAGTTCAATAATATGGGTGTCCAGCAACCGGGTGGCTTTTTTGGCGGTGGGCAACAAATGCCACCCTTTTCCGCGCCTCATGTACCAACTAATGCTCAATTTCCAAATATGCCAATTCAATCAATGCCTCCAGGTCCAATGGGACCCTCAGTGCCAGCAGCTGAGCGCGAAATCCGTCGATTACGGGAGCACATTCATACATTAGAGGGAGAACTACATAAATTACAGAAAAAATTACATAAAGTAACATTAGAGGAATCAAAGGGCATCAAAAGTGACCATGAACGTGTACGTAACAAAAGTGGTGGATCACAACAACCACAATCGCAATATCGGGAGAAACGAAGAAGACGATCACAAGATACCAGATCACCACGACAAACACCAGTTATTGTTGAACTAAATAGTGAAAAAGAACACAAACATCGTCAAACAAGCAGCGGTACCAGTGGACGACATCAAACACCGCCGAGAACAACTGGGGTTGGAGGTATTGCAAACGATGGTGGGTATGCCGCGCGATCGGAAACAACAAATGAAACACCAACATCATCTGGTTTCGTTCAATCACATAGTCCATTACGTCAAGCTGATAGCGAAAGACGTTCGAAATCGAGAGAACGGTACGTTTTTTTGCTTACCTAATAATAAACATTTCACCTTTCGTTATACCAGCTGCTGAGTCGCGATTACTCACAGTTGTTATGTATAAATACTCCTTTTTAGTTTATTCTTCATTTATTTAATCAATTTCTCGTTTTTAGATCTAGATCAGGTACTAATCAACGATCGGACTCCGAAAATCGCCAGGCGAGAAATTCAAAAAAAGAACGGGAAGAAACGGCATCAAAATTAGCACATGCAGCTGCAGCAAGGGTTAATGGACGAGGAAATGGAAATCAACAACCGGGACCACCCCCACCCCCTCCGCCTCCTCCTACTCAGCAACACGGTAATTTTAGACCACAGCAACAAACGCAAGGAAGTCAAAATCGTCCAGATCAAATGCCTCCTTATGTGCAACAACCGTTTCAAATAAATCATCGTTACCCATCGACAAATATGGCCAGTGCTTTTTCGCAACACCAGCAACAGCCATTCCAGTATCCAAACCAAAATTATAATCAATCGAATAATAATGATCTAGTTTATACTGAAGATTCCGACGAACTTCAAACTGATACGATTAAACGGAGAACAACACGTGGAAGAGATGCAACACAACAAAAAGATAAATCTGCCGAAAAAATTCTAGATGCATTCGAAAGATTTTATGCAAAAAATGGTAAAACAACCGTTCCAATTAAAGTAAAATATATTCCCGAGTCTCAAACCGTTAATCCGCAACAAAAACGTAACAACAATAGACAATCCAATACGAACAAACGACGATCCTCCTCCTCGGCAACATCAACGCCACCATTATCTAGTTTTGATAAACACCGTAATAAACAAAATGGAGAAAGAACACAAAATAAAGAGGTATGATAATGATTTGCGAGAAAATAAATAAAACAAATTCGGTCGACAGTACTACTGCCTATTTAAAAATGTAGTGTCTGCGGCTATTTTTCGAATAACTATTGAACAAAAAGAGCTAAAAATTTGCGGTTTTCAGTTTCTGAAAGTAGATACAAGGAGATGTAAGTGTATGGAAAAATTTAGCTACAAACGCCGCCTGCAGGTGATGTACCTCATTAATCTTTCAAAGAGTAGATTAGAAGTCCAAGAAAAAAAAGATATTATTGAGCACTTATAAGTGGGTTCGAAGTACCACACTATGCCCTATCGAACTAGACAAGTCGCAGATCACTGGCTATTACCGTTCGGCCAGGGGAGTAGTCCTGTCGAGTTTAGATCGGTTTGGGCTGAGTTATGAGTTTTTGTTTCGAGAAAAATAGCCAAAGACAGTTATTTCATCTAATATAGGTTTCCACTGGGTTTTCGAATTTTATTCTATAAATTGGCATTGCCACGAGTTTCAGCGCAGTCGATAACGAATGTTTCTAACTATTTTCAAGGTTTTTCCACTTGAAAATGAGGAGTAAGGTAGACTCCAGTAAAACTACGCCCCTCGATAATTCTGATCTGTGCGATCACTGTTGATAAAACTATACTAAAAAAAGGAAAACATGAAAAGTTTAAAAAAGATGTAAAGAACATGAAGTGATGTCAACTTCTTTCATTTTCCTCGAAACACATAAAACCTTTCATGGGATGGGATATTTAGCCACATATATTCCATCTATGCCTAATTACGTGAAACCGAATATTAAACATATGTACGGTTTTTGTTGAATCGTAGAAGAACGACGGCTCATTAGAAAGTAAACCAGTACACTGGGATTTTGTCCTATTCAACTTTATACTTTTATTGAAAACGATTGTTTAATCTATCAGATATTTTTGAGCTTAGAAACATGATGCAACAAACAATTTTG